CCAGTACTACCTCTACCGATATGTGTACCAACCTGCAGTATTCCAAAAAAGCCAGTGGAACCATGTGATTCGGGGAGTGACGTATCTAGGGATAAGAAATCGCGAAAGGTGTATTACTCCACCGATGATGAAGACGAAGAAGGTATGAGAATTAAGAAACCCAAGTTTAGCTGTTGCAAATGGTTTGCGCCAGTAGCAGCGCCTGTACCACTGCCAACATGTGATTCGGGCAGTGACCTCTCTAGAGAGAAGAAAGCACGAAAAGCATATTATTCCACCGATGATGAAGGCGAAAGACATCTGGCAAGCCCCAAGGCTAATAAACCCTTGGTGCTTGGAAATATAGATGCCAAGGCACCGCCAGTACTACCTCTACCAATATGTGTACCAACTTGCAGTATTCCAAAAAAGTCTGTGGAACCATGTGATTCGGGGAGTGACGTATCTAGGGAGAAGAAAACGCGAAAGGTATATCACTCCACTGATGATGAAGACGAGGAAGGTATGAGAATTAAGAAACCCAAGTTTAGCTGTTGCAAATGGTTTGCGCCAGTAGCAGCGCCTGTACCGCTGGCAACATGCGATTCGGGTAGTGATCTATCTAGAGAGAAGAAAGCGCGAAAAGCGTATATTTCCTCAGATGATGAAGGCGAAAGACATCTAACAAGCCCCACAGCTAATAAACCCATGGTGATAGGGAACATTGACGCAAAGCCGCCGCCACTTTGCATACCTCTACCGATATGTGTACCAACATGCAAGACCCGAAAAAAGTCGGTGCAACCACCTGATTTGGAGATGAGAACCGCAAAGTTGCCTCCACCTCCACCTTTCGCTGCTGAAGTCGCCAAAAGTACTAAAGAGCCCAGTGTTAAGAGACCCAAGGGACAATGCTGCAAATGGTTTGCGCCAGTAGCAGCGCCTGTACCATTGCCAACATGTGATTCGGGCAGTGACCTCTCTAGAGAGAAGAAAACGCGGAAAGTATATCTATCCTCAGATGATGAGGGCGAACGACATCTAACAAGCCCCACTGCAAACAAGCCCATGGTGTTGGGCAATATAGATGCTAAGGCACCGCCAGTTTTAATACCTCTGCCGGTATGCGATGTCACTTGCAAAATTCCAAAGAGGTCGGTAGAACCATGTGATTCGGGGAGTGACGTATCTAGAACGAAGAAAATTCGAAAATTGTATCATTCCACAGATGATGAAGATTACGAAGCTGCAACAAGCACCAGGCCTAAGAAGTGCAAGTTAAATTGCTGCAAATGGTGTGCACCAGTAGCGGTACCTCTACCACTGCCAACATGTGATTCTGGGAGCGACATCTCTAGAGAGAGGAAAAGACGGAAAGTATATCTTTCCTCGGATGATGAAGGCGAACGACCTCTAGCAAGCCCCAACGCCAATAAACCCATGGTGCTAGGCAATATAGACGCAAAAGCACCACCCGTTTTAATACCTCTGCCGGTATGCGATGCCACTTGTAAGATTCCAAAGAGGTCGGTGGAACCATGCGATTCGGGGAGTGACTTACCCGAACCAGTATCTAGAAAGATGAATTATTCCACCGATGATGAAGACTACGATGGTCCAAAGGTAACCAATAAATTCAATGGATGTTGTGCTATAAAAGGAAGGCCACCGATAATTTGTGATTCGGGGAGTGACGTATCTGGACCGGTACCTAGAAAGATACAGTGTTCCAGCGAGAATGAAGAAGATGAGATTATAGTTATACCCGTTGCTAGGAAATCTAAAATCAGTTGCGCTAGTTGCCACAGCTGTAACAGAATCCGAGGCCGCGGTGAGGGTCGACCGTGCAAAAGAAAAGGTTGATGATGATGGTAGAAATGACACCACGAGTAACAACTACATTCAGTCGATATTTTTACCAATGACAATAGTGATACCACTGTCGACAGCTTTGCCAAAAGCAAAGACCGTGCAAAAATGGAATCAACAAACGCGTGATTCTGGATGTGTTTTATCTGCACCTGTATCTGAAGCGAACAAGTCAACGAAGGATAAACATATGAGAAGTCCCTCGGCTAAGAAACCCATGGTACATGGTAGCACCCAACAGACGGCAATAGCTTCTTTGCTTTTGCTGTGGATATCAATAGCACAAATTCAGGTTTTGACTTATGTTTACAACTATTTTTACACTCTTTTTTTACATTTTGATTCCTGTATTTGATCTCAGAGACCAGTTGAATAGGCTTATAATTAAATTGGACATTTGCCAAAAATGTGTCTAACGTTTCACGTTTCTTGCAAAAAAAACTTAATCGCACTGTTATGCTCCTATTACTATTAAGTTAGGGTTAGGGTTTTATACATTAAATGGATTTTAAGACAAATTTAACCTCAAAAAAATAATGAACGCAGTAGCGTTTTGAAGAATTCCGCAGTCAATAGCGCCCGACTTCACTGTCTGAAAATACTTTCGTATTTCGTATTTTATGCACTTTCATGTACATTAACAAGTCTGTTATATGGCGAGCCAACTAAATAAAATGTACACAGCCAAGGCTAGAGTGCGACAGAGACAATGATTGAGAGGGAGAGGACTGTGTGGAGTTGTGAAAATTGTACACCAGCAGGAATAATAATAGCTTTGCATCAACCGACCATACGACCATGTAACTAATTATTGAAATGCTATTAAAGCGCACATATTTTAATTCAAATTAATTAACGAGCTGGATTCGTAACACGGTAAATGTTAATATGTTGACAAGGAGCTAAATGATTAACGAATTAACAAAAATTTATGCATATATGAATTCATGTATAAATTTATATATATGAACATCATTGCAGTTTAGCCTATATTTCTTATATTTTAATTAAAAATAGGTTTTATAGTTCGCTAACTGTACTTGTTCATTATATAACAAAAAATATATATTTTTAGCCAATGAGAGAACTTAAAAAAAATAGTTTTCAAAAAGTTAAATAAACAAAAAAAAAATGATGGACTCAAAATTTTATATAATTTGTATGATCTGTATATAATATATGGCTGTAAGAATTTTTCTATACGTATTTCATCAGCTATATATACGAAAATAGCGATGAGTATGTTAGCCGCATACCTCAGCCCAGAGGCTCAGGCACTCACACCCAATTACTCACACACACGTACACAAATACACACAGACACATGCGCAATTCTCTGGCAATTTCTGTTGTATTTTTATACAGTTTGTAGCATGCTCCATAAATAGCCATAGACTGTCTCATCGAGGCGCAGCAAATGGTTGAACTGAATTTTAGCAGATTACAAAGACTTCGAATAATGTTGCCATCTTTGGAAATCCTTTCACTTTCGCGTTCAACAGTTTCAGTTTTTATTTTTTATATTTTTCTTTTTTTTTTTTTTTTTTTTTTTTTTTTTTTGAATGTTTTTAAAATGTTTCATAAAGTAATTTTGTCATTTGAGCACAGGTCAGCACATGATCAGGGTTTCTTTTTTTTTTAATTTTCGTTTTTAAATTTTCTTTTTCTTTTTTTATTATTATTTTGTATATTATAAACAAAGCAGCGAGACCTGGCCGGAGTCAGGCGATCTTCACAGCTCGACAACAGAATCGGTAATGCACTAAAGGATGCAAAAAATATTCTCAAATTAATTCTTGGCGCTGACTGTGCGGCCCCCAACGCGTTGCCCGGCTATAACTGTACCGGCTGCCCGAACGGCCGACCGAACGCTACCCCAAAAAGATTCGAGAACACAAGAATCAAAGAATCGAGAATTGCCTCACCAACACCCACCGCCCCGCTCACCTACTCCGCTTACCAGAGTGCCCGCAGCGATGAGAACTTTCATTCCATTCATATGTACATATGTATATATATAAATTTATATACATATGTATATGTATATATACACATTGTATAGTTATATATATTAATAGCTTTGTCTCGTCTTCTTGTCTTGCTGCAGGCTTGTATATAAGGCGTATATATCTATTGATATATAGCTGGCTATATAGCTAAGATCGTACGCCAAAAATATACCGAAAGATTTCGACGTTGTCGTCTTCGCTGATGTTCTTGTTGTAGTTGCTGTTATTGTTGGGCTTTTTGCTTCCACATTCCGCCTCAAATGATCCACACAACTGATCCTCTTACGCAGGCGCATACAAACACACACACACACGCAGACACACACACACACAGGCACTGTCTATACTTAGCCGTCGCGTTGGTATATACGTAAGATCGGCCGATCGTCGAACTGCTGCCTCGTCGTGCCAATGCGAACAGCGCACAGCTATAAAAATAACATCCAAAAAACTTAACAACAACAATCGATAGAGCTATAATTTTAGTATATATACATACGTATATATATATATATATATATGAGTGTGTCTAGCCGCCCGATCAAGCATTACGTTCCGATTGTGTTTCGGCTTTTTGGCAATATATAGCAACAGCAATTGCCATATCTCAACTGGGCCTTAGGCATCAGTTTGCCATTTCTTTGCCTTTCAATTTTTGTGCTTCGGTTTTTTTTATCATTTTTCGCACACTCTCGAGTCACTTGGGTTGACATATTTTTGGAAATGTCAAAAAGCGTTCGAATTGCTTAATTACTTTTTTTGTACACACACACTCACACCTACACAAACACGACGTTATTGGGTATAGACGCATTTGGCCAGAATCCAAACGTTGATCGGTTTAGCTCTATTATTGGTACAGCTCTTCGTTAAGCTATTCTACAAATACATTATTAGTGCTACAAATTTTTGTAACATTTTTATTTTTCGTAAATGAAACATATTTTTTAAACTGAAAGCAAAGAGATCAGCTGTAATTTTTTCTGGTTTTAAGTATATTACAATATTTATCTGCGGCCCTTTAAAAAGATTTTTTCAAATTCTTTTTAAAAATGTATACTTGCATATATCTTGGAAACTTAGAAAATTCCTCTAAGTTTTCTTATATATGCTTAGTAAATTAATGACAATAAAGGGACTTTTAAGAAAATACATTAATTAAAAAGTAGTAATAATAATAATAATAATAATAATAAATGATATGGTAGTTAAAAAATGCTAAAGCTAAAAATTCAGTTTTTCGATTGAAATGATTCACGAACTGAATTTACAAAAATACTATTTTTATTGAAATAAATTACTTTATTATATATTAATAATAGTATGTGTCCTCCAAAATTATCACATAATAAAATTTCTGATATGAATTTAGAAATGCTATGACATCAGCTCTTGAAGCGAAGCACATTAAAGTGCAAGCTCATTTAACTAATGCAATTTATTTTGTATTTAATGCTTTAAGAATATTTCGACTTGGATCCCTTTTAAAGGCTTAGTAACATTTGCAGTTGGGCGCTGCAAGAAATGCACAAAACTCTCAAACACAATTCGCCTTTTAATGTGCAAATGTAAAGCTTAACTAATGCATGCACTCACACTCACACAGAGAGAGAGAGAGAGAGAGACAAACTTGCAGATGCACACACATAATAGATGCATCTGATAGCAAGAAAAAGGCAGGAGAAGATGTCTCTGCTTACATGCGAGCGAAACATACAAATGCAATTTAATTTTTTCTCTTGGTTTTTCAACGATTTCTACTTTATTTTTTTTATTTTTATTTTTTCACAACTTTGGCGCGTATGAAATGTATTTTTGGGTGGCAATAATAGCTCCCAGAGACGGTCGTCCTTGTCGTTAGGTTGATGAATTTGTCTGTGGCTGTTGTGCCATAAAAACATAGACACCAACTGTTGTCTACAAATAAATCTCGTTAAGGAGTACACAACAAGCACACCCACACCAACACACACCCACACACATACGTACAAAAAACCTATTTGCTCGTTAGACCACTTATGCAGATGCAGATACTTTACTCCCAAAAATCATCGGGAGCAACATGAGCATAAAAACGCATGCTTCGAGCGTTGAGGCAAGAAGAAAACTTCTTCAGGCCAACTATAAATGCTCTAACAGATCAAAAACACATCAAAATATGAATATACATATATATTAATATGTATATTTCCAAAAA